GTAGAAACTGTATCATTAAACTAAAGAAAGTAACGAATACTGAAAAGTCAAAGGTACGTGAAACATTTTAAAATGATCAAATAATATAATGATCAGTCACTTTAGGTCACACCATACTATGAAATTGGAAAAAACTAAATGTGAAGTGAGTAGAATATGAAACATTAAAAAAACAAATGTAAATGATAGCATCATTCGGAGTCATGTATAAACTATACTATGAAACTGAAAAGAAGAAACAATAGTTGCGCAATCGTAAGAATTTAGTTGTACATTTAACCTTTTTACATACATTAAACCTTTTTATATACATTATAGATATGACAAAAATAGTGAGAACAGTAGAACAGGTCACGTCATTACGAAACATAGCTACCTCTATCAATAAAAACAGTCTGATCTGACACTTCAGGTATTGTCAACTATACTATGAAACTGAAAAAGAAACAAACAGTGAGAAGAACATGAAACAAAATTTGAAAAACAAACCAGAAATGATAAAAATTGCGTCATATCAGTCACTCCTTGTACAAACAGAGAAGAGAAGAAACAAAATAGTGGGAAGTAATTAGAAAATAAAACATTCTAACAATATACGTCACATCAAAAGAACTCAGTCGTACTAGCCACTCCTATTATTTTAGTCACTCCTAGTATATGGAATTGTGAAAAGAAGAAACAAAATAATGAGAAAAACTTTATAAAACATAATTTTAAAAACCAACCTCAAACAATATGAACTTGGTGAAATCAGTCACTTCTGGTATAAATAGTACTATAAAACTGAGAAAAGAATAAATGAATGGTGAAGAGTAAGTAGAACATGTAAAATTAGAAAAACTAATGTCAAACAATAAGAATTCAGTCAGATCAGTTTCTTTTGGTACTATAAATCTGAAACAGAGAGGAGGTTCGGAATTTCGTAAGGGCACTTACAAAAAATTCTGCCTGTACAACAGCCAGGGAAGGAGTTGGTAATAACTCCAGGAGTACGTGGATAAGACAAACAGTATCAATTGTATGAGCACAACTGGTCACAAGGGTCATGACATGTCAGCACTGCTGAATGTTCCAGCACATTTTATGGCTGAAAGGAAAGCATTTGAGCATGCCGCACCAGCAAGTGTCCCACAGCATGTCAGAGCCACCGACTAGTCTGTCGTTAAAGTCTCGATTACGATATGATGAAGTCAAAGTTTGCGTTGCTATCATAGCTAATGTTTGTGCTAAATGCACGTGCAGACCAATTACAATTTCAAATGCACAACATACGTTAGTGCACCTCCGAGACCACACCTTGCTTTTCCAAATAGGCTACCTCTACTTTAGTGAGGATGAATTGGCTACAGTTCTTACTGCTGCTATAATTAAGTGGAAAAGAAAACGGTGACCTAAAAAATTCTGGGTTTGACCAAATCTTTAGCAAACGAAGAGAGCAAGGAGAATTCCATAACTTGGTTCAGGAAATGATGCTCTCTCATCCAGACTGTCATTAATTTCAAGTACATGAGAATGTCCAGAGAACGCTTTGACTTGTTGTTATCAGAGGTAAAACTACTGATTTTGCACGGCATCATATAAATGCATATTCACTACAAAACTAATAGGTTGGCTGTTTTTGGAAAAGAGGTTTATATAGTAATGCTACTAGACCCTCAAGGGGCCCAGCAGAAAAATTGGCACTCACACTCTGATACCTAGCAACTGGTGCTTCTCAAGTATTGTCATTGTGTGGCATGATTTATACCTTTGTTGTTTCATTTTTTATGAATGACTTTGTCATTTGCTTTTCGTGTAAGATAACCAAGTGTGTGTAACATTATTTATGACACCTGTGATGCCATATAGTGCAGTCTTCAACCACAGCATGTCAAAGCTCCCAACTGTGCAGATGACTGGTTGATAATCAGCCGAGCAATTCATCAAATGTAGAATTTCCCGAATTGTATAGGTATAAGTATACCGAAAAATTCATTTAATTATGGTGCTATTGATGGGAAACACATCGTTATCTAAGCTCAAAGTAATGCGGGGTCTAGTTACTTTAATCAGAAAGGAACTCATTCAATTGTGCTTCTCGCTGTTTGCGATGCTCGATATAGGTAAGGATGGTTATGTAGTTCAATTGTTTTATCAGTGAACTAAACTAATTTTAATGTAGGTTTGTGTTAGTGGATATTTGTGAAGCTGGTCACTAAAGTGATAAAGGAATTCCATCAAATTCATCATTTGGTCAGGCTGTTGATGATAACTAGTTGTTTATTTCAGAACCATCACCACTACTGAACACAAATCAACCTTCCTTACCTAATGTAATTGTAGGTGACGAAGCATTTCCTTTGCATTTAAATATGATGCGCCCTTACCCTGGTCAATTTTTACCTGGTATTGTACATAATTATTAATGTATTCTTAGAATAACAATTTATTTACAATTAATTTTCCTTATATTAGAGGATTGAACAGTATACAATTACAGACATAGCAGAGCACATTGCATTATTGAAAATATCTAAGATATTTCAGCGTCCAGATGGAGACTGTTTCATAAACCTTTTATAGGCAAACATTTTATAGGCAAACCACATAAAGCTGAAGTGTATACAATGGCTGCTGTTGCTTTCCACAACTACCTTCAAACCACTGAGTCGTCTATGTAATGTCCACCAGGATTTGTGGATGGAGACGATGGTTCCAGGAATATTTGGAAGGTACTTGGCAAGAAGGAGGTGCCACTGGATTGACACAAGTTAATCAAGTTGGCAGTAATAGGTATAATTAAAGTATACATGTAGATGAACTATCCATATTAGCCATTTATTTCAAATGTTCAGGTACTCAAGAGCAACAGCAGAGGTGAGAGATTGCTACAACACCTATTTTAGTTGTAAGGAGTGAGAAGTGTACTGGAAGCTCCATCATTTTCAAAGAACATAGTAATTATTTTTCATAACTATCAATCCTTCAATGAATAAAATGATTATGATGATTGAAAGTGAAAAAACTGACATCAGTTTCATTATACTATTATTATTGGTACATTTCACTGTCATGGGTGTTGTTAAATGATGCAGACTGATACAGTGGCATGGGAGAGGTTGTGACCTGATTGCCGTTGGCTATATCGTTGGCTTGCTACATGTCCTTTCTCCACACCATTGAGTGTTGAGCCTGGGTTAAATAATGGTGTTATTATTCTTCTACTTGGTGTGCCAATTGCGCAATAAGTAAAGTCCATTAGTAGTTATTAATTATTGAAAAATGAACCCATAATAATAAAACATGTTTATGTGCTGCAGCAATTAAAATGGCTACTACCCAGTCTAGCTAATGGGCATAACACAACTGCTAGCCTTAGTTTTACATTAAATGACAGCAGTGAAACTTTAGAGTCAGAGGAGCCATCGAGAAAGAGATTCAGAAGGAACTATCACAGTAAATGTGCTCAGAAATGGCCATGCATTATGTATGATGAAGAGAATAGTTTTGCCGTGTGGGTTTGAAGGTAAGGCTTTTGTTTTGTAAGTAATACAGTTCATCTTTTTGTATTTTTCCACTAATAGTGGCCTAGAGTATCTGATAACAAGTGCACTCTTGTAAAAGGGATAAACAACTTCTCCAATTGTCATTCAAGTAGAAACACGAGGCTAGTGACAAGCACTGGCTAGCAGTAGAAGCAGACTTGGCTGCCAATGCTCCAGAGAAGACATCAATGGTACAAGCATTAGCAACGTTGACACGGCAACAAAATGACAAAATGTTGCTACTGTTTTGCAGTACTTTTTGCATTGTTAAACTAAAGTTTTCTCTTAATACTTTCGCTACACTTCTTAGTTTACAGGAACTAAGTGGTGTGGCTCTTGGTTCTGCCTACAATACTAGAGTAATTAATCAATTATCGGACTAATCAAACTTTGGGCAGTTATATTTTGAAAACTAAACATGATTTTCCAGTGATTTTTGCACTAGATATAGATCATCACAATATCTGTTTGCATGGTAAAAATCAAAGCATTACTTTCTTTCTTTGTAAAGATATAATTTGCTAAACACACTTCGTAGATTCACACAATAATCGGCCGAGTTAACCCCATTTTCGTCACTTAGCCACAACGAAGCAAGCTTTGTTTGAAGAATAGTTTTGTACCACCAGAACTTTAGTACTGACTGTCTTCTTCAAATACCACTGTAAACATCTTGGTCATCTTTGCTTACTGTTCAGGTATTATACCTTTTTAGTTAATTATCATTATCGGTCACACCCATCTTCATTAATTGCTGCAATAAAGCACGAGGCTCCTTGTTTGCATTTTTGTTTGGACTCATTGAATCTCTCAGCTGCCTTTTCTTATCATAAATACTACCTCTATTGAATGTAAGTCACTATAAAAACAAAATTTGTTTGTATAGCATGCAGTTTGTTCTCAAAGCTGCTCTATCATGTGTATAGCCATAGTGCATGCAAGATGCAAATTGCTTAGTCTTTAGTTCTGTAAAATAAAGGTACATCAATCTAGCACCAAGCCTTTTCCCCATGTTTACATGTCATTGGTATGATAATCAATTTTTTATGTTAATGTCTTTTTTAGATGGCGACACGCCCATGTACATACTCTACATGGCCTGAAATAAGCATGACGAATGCTATCAAAGCAGTTGAAGAAGAGGGGTTGACAGTTAGACCTGCAGCGGAGCTATATGGCATTCCCAAATCAACACTTTATGACAGGATCAGGGGAAATGTTCAACATGGAACTAAACCTGGCCCAGTGCCGTATCTTACAAAAGAAGAAGAGGTTATTTTGGCTAAGTTTTTAATCAGATGTTCTCAGATTGGATTTCCCCGCTCAGTTTCAGAAGTTCTTGCACCAGTAAGACAAACAATTCAGTCAAAGGGTTTAAGTGACGTCTCAATTTCTTACGGATGGTGGCAGAAATTTTGTAGCAGGCAGAGTGAATTATCACTTCGTACTGCTGTGCCTTTAAGTCTTTCGAGAGCCATGGCCACTGATAATAGTGTCATACAAAAGTATTTTGATATACTTGAAGACACACTTAAAGAAAATTCTCTATTCAACAATCCAACTCGCATATTCAACTGTGATGAAACAGGACTCCCATTGAATCCTAAATCTTTGAAAGTTGTGAGTGGTCGTGGAGCTAAGAATGTCAGTCAAATCACTGGAGAAGGGAAGTCTCAAATCACAGTTCTGGCATGCACTTGTGCAGCTGGAGTACCATTGCCTCCATTTGTAATATTTGATCGTAAGACCTTTAATGATCAGCTAATGGTAGGAGAAATACCAGGTACACTTTACGGCTCATCTCCAAATGGATGGATCAGTAGAGAGCTGTTTTTGTACTGGTTTCGTAAGCTGTTTTTAACGAGTGTTCCTAGGGTACGTCCTCTCCTTCTCCTGATGGATGGTCATTCTACTTATTATGGTCCTGACCTTATCAAGATAGCAGCTGAAGAGCAAATTTTAATATTTGTATTGCCACCCAATACCACTCATTTAACACAGCCACTTGACAAAGGGTATTTTGGGCCATTAAAAACTGCTTGGAAGGCTGTGTGTCATGAGTTCTGCACTAAAATCCCTGGTCGTGTGGTAACCAGTTACGATTTCTTTGTATTATTTGCTGATGCATGGAGAAGGTCAATGACACAGAGAAACATTGCAAGTGGCTTTGAAGTAACCGGCATATGTCCCTTCAACAGAAATGCTATTAAAACTGGCAATGACAAGCAAGAAACCATCAGCCGTTCACTGTTAGACCAGACTGGTCTAGCATACATACCGCTCTATAGTCCAGACATAAAGAGAACGAGGGATCATGATTCTTCATTCAATTCTAGTCTCTTGGAGAGATCACTTTCAGAGAATGATTTATTGCAAGCTGTCACTCCAATGTGAGGAGTAATGCCTATAGAGTCTTTTCTGAAAACTCCTAGTCATCCCAGTAGCAAGCCCACCCTGAAGCCTAAATCATGCGGAAGAGTATTGACTAGTGTTGAATTCATGACATGTATAGAGGAAAAGGAAAGAATGAAGCAGGAAGCCTTGAAGGAGGAGCGTAAAAGAATTGCTAGACTTGAGAACCAGAAGGAAGCTAATAGAGTAAAAGAGTTGAAGAGAAGTGCAAGTAATATATCTTATTGTGAAAAATTTAATCTGATATTGGACCGTATTTTTAGATTATACTATGAGTGAGCACAGGCAATTTAAGAAGTTTGAAAATGGGTATGACATTCCGGATGAGAGGTATGAGTTATGGGTTCAGTTATATCGTCCTAATATGACATCTCAAGGTGGGTGTTGATGAATTCATATTATTATGTTGAACATAATGTATTTATTAATATTAAGATTCAAATGCTGAAGATGAAGACCAAGATTCCTTGAGTAATGGTAAGTAACAGTAAATTAGTATTTTATTCATTGGTAATTGTAGACACTGATAAAGGAGAAGAGCTTTCAATGAGTGCTGCAAACAGTATGCATGAAACATAATATTATTCTATAATGCTTTATAATTGTGTAGGTATAGAGACACAGACACATACTGTCACAGCTAATAACAGTAAAGGCCTTTAAAATTAGCTGCAATACTTTTTATTATTAATGTTGGAGCAAAAAGAGTTGCACCTATCAAGGGAACCGCTGCTACTAACGGTATTCGTATCACTATTAATTATTCTGATTTATTTTTAGAGACAGTTGATGCCTCTGTTACTTCTAATGCTAAGAAGGCTGTGAGGTCTAAAGGTATGTCTCAAATAATTTATGCTTGTCATTATTTTTTAATTAGAGACAGCAATCGCTGTACCTACTACTAGGAGCGTTAGATATAAAGGTATTGTAATATTAATAGTTGTTAATGTAATGGTTCATGATAATAGAGAGAGTTTTACCTATTGAAGAAAGTGTTAGAGCTAAAGAAAGTGTTAGAGCTAAAGGTATTTATTAAGTTTTTTGTTTATTTTTATCTATGCAAGTATAGAGACAGTTGAACCCACTACAGATATTAGTACTGCAGCCAAAGAGAGCAATAGAACTAAAGGTACTATTATGCAATTTTTGAACAAAGACAATTGTGCCTGGCTACGCAAGTGTTACAGGTTTTTAATTGTTATTATTGACTTATGTAGAAACAGAGAGAGTTATATGTACTGCTAAGGGGAGTAAGGGAAGTGTTAGAACTAAAGGTATTAATATACTAGCTTTTTATAAATGTTAATGTAATATAGAAACAACTGTAAGTCCTGCTAATGCAACTACTGCTAAAAAAAGTGCTATAGGTGTCACATAATTCTTCTATTTTATTTTATTATTTTTAATATAGAATCAGCTGATTATCCTACTGCAAAAAAGAGTGTTCAAAGTATACAATAATTTATTTTGCTATTAATTTTATAGTTTATGCTTAGGTGCACATAGAGTTGATACAAGGAGTGTCAGAACTAAATGTAGTAAAATTTTAATTATTATTATCTTTATTA